TTTGTTCCCATTTTTCTCTGGTTTCTTTTTCTCTGCTAGGCTGCATTTTCCTTTTTTCTCTTGTCCCATGTCCCCTCTCTCCCTATTCCCTTTGACTCACCCTTGCACTCTCCCCTTCAGTGTTGCTACCTCTCCCTCACTTTGGCCTGGAGTCTGAGAGTCCCTGGGGCTTCCCACCCCACCCCCGCTCTGGGTGTGCTAGTGGCGGTGCTGGCTGAGGTGCAGGCCAAGTTAGCTGCAGGCACCCAGGCCTCCTGAGAAGCCCACCGTCAACTCCTGAATTCCACAAGGCCTTCCTTCTGACTTCTCAGTGAGCTCACCCTCCCAGCTCCTCTTGCGAGGAAGCCAAGTAATTGCTTTTGGATCTCAGGGGGCTGATTTTCCCAGGTAGGGAAGTTCACCAGCTATTATTTTCCAACTCTCTTCAGGAGAGCATCAGAGGAAGAGGGGCAAAACCAAGTTGTCCAGAAGGATGCAGGTGAGACACCTGGGAGACTGGAAATTGTTAGATAATGAGATTACACCCTGAGGGAGGAAGACCTACTGGTCTGGGAGAACTGGGACAGCATCCTGGGGATACTGAGGAGGTCATAGGTAGTAACTGGGGGGGATGAAGGGCTCCTGAGAAGGGGAAAGGAGAAAACCAAGTTGCCCCTTTAATGTAAGGCGGTCCCAAATGCCAGTGCCTTTGTCCCTCTGTCCCTAATATCCCCCAGTCCTGCAGTTACTCCTGTCCCCCAGTTCCTGCTGCATCTATGTGGGCCTGGGAAGGAAACATCAGTTTAGGATTTTACTTCAGCATCCCAGACCTGGCAGAAGTCCACCGAGGGAGCTGTGATGGGTTTTTGGTGGAGAAGTAGGCTTGGTGGGCAGAGGGCCAGGGCATATAAAGCAAGAGGTCTTGGGGTACAGGGCTGGGAGAAGAGCTGGAAAGTGGTGCTTCAGATGGTACCGAAGGTTGGATACCACCAAGTTCTCAGGTCAGTGGATTCCATGGCTGCCATGAGAAATCAGATTTGCATGTAATTATGGAGGCTGCAGTGGGATGATCAGGCTGCCAACCGGTGTTGGCACCACTTAGGTTGGGAAATTGACTTCCAGGGGGCTTGGTGATTCTCTGGTAGGCAGGACCTGGGAGCTAGAGAAGCTTCTCCTTTCTTTCCTATTACTTGGCTTCCCTGTTCCCCTCTTTCTATTTTAGCTCTTGTATCTAACTTGGTGCCATCACCCTTATTCTCTATGCCCATCCTGCTTGGAAACTTCTTGGGTCCTAGGCTGTAAAGACACACATGCCAGCAGTGTTGCCAAGCTCCCTGAACTGTCTCTATACCAAGCAATAACTTTACAATTTCCAATCTGAAAGAAATGTAAATCAGATTGCACCAGGCCCATCCCAAACACTTCTTTGTCTTGCCTGTTTTCTTCTTGTCTGTTCTTTGAAATGCCAAGAAAATTTGCTGTTGTCTTGATTGCAGCAAGATGGATTGAAGATCGATATGCAGGAGAACTTCCTGGAAAGTTCATTAAGGTTAGAATGTGACCTGCCTACAACAAAGAAGCCACCCTCCTTTAAGCATCAGGTTAGGGATGAATTGGGGGAAGCAATGAGCCAGTCCCAAAGGATGAACTTGAACTGGGGAATTGAGACCCAGGCATCCCATATCCCTGTGCCTCCAGCCCAGGCACTGAACCTGAGAACAAGACTGTGTTACAGAGGAGGAAACTGATACTCAGGGAGCAGGTAAGGTCGGGGCAGGCCTGCAGCCAGGCCTGAGTCCTGCGGATCCACAATCTAGTGCTGCTCCCGTGACACCTGCAGTCAATCCCCTGCCAAGCTTCTAACTCACTTCCCCATCCCAGGCCACCTTCAGCATCTGGTAGATCCTCTGGCAGCAGGGCATCTGCTGGGAACATGTGTTGGGATGTGGTTTTGAGGGCTGGTGGGGTGGTCCATGTGGAGGTCATTAATGAACAGAATTAAATAGTGCAGGGAGGGAGCAAAGGGGTGGACAAGTGAATCAGAGAAAGAGTTCTGGACTGCGTCCAGAGAGCCTCTTCTCAGATTAGCCTTCCTCTGGCTTTGCCCACCCCTCCCATTTCTGCCCCTTCAGAAGGGCTGAAGCCTGAGGGAGAGGTGACTCAGTTGGGTGCTAGGCTGGGAGTGGGATATCAGGGCCCTTATTAGTCTGGAACTAAGGCTCAAGCTGTTCAGACTACCCCTTTCTTCATCTAATCTGAGCTACGCTGGGCTGTTGGTAGAAATACCTATTAGAAACAGCTTCTGGTTGAGGCAGAGGGGCAGTTGCATTTAGATAAGCAAGGGTGGGGGCCAACTCTTCCTCCTCTGCTCAGTGTTTCCCAGACCCTCCTCTTCAGCACCCTTCATATTCCCTTCCTTCCTGCCCCCTTAGTACCCCCTGCCCCTCTCCCACATGTCCTCCACTCTCCTGTTTTCTGCTCCTCCCCCACTATTCCCCGGTCTTGCCCAGGCCCTGCCAGGCTCCCCCCTCAAACCCCTGTCCCAAGCTCCTCTGTCTGGGGCCTTGAGATCTCTTACTACCTCTGCTATGTCGACCTGTGGCCTGCAGCCTCCCAGATGGCACTGAAGTTCTACCACCATGGGGGGCTATTTTTATCTCTGGAACCACCCCTGCCCCTATGCCCAGCCAGCTGCCAGAGCTGGGGCTGCTTGTATAGCAAGGGGAGTAAGAGGCCTGGCAGTGCTTGGGTAAGGTCAGGTCTGGGTGTTCCTGGTCTCTGGAGCTCCACAGTCCATATTCCCTCAGCTCCTGCTTCCATTGCCTCCTAGTCCCTGTGGAATAAGGAGCCAGGGAGAAGCCCTAGACCGCTGGAGTGGTGGCAGTGGGTGGTCTGTGGCATTATGAATCACTTTACAGTTCCCCAGGAGCTCTCATATGATCTCATTTGATCCTTGTGTGAATTCTGTCAAGCACATGTAATCCATTTTACAGACAAGGAAACTAGAGCTCACAGAGTCTTGTCCAAGGTCACACATAGTGACAAAATCTAGGCAGAAGGCTCCTGATTTTAATTCTTGTCTTCTTTCTATTGGGTTTCGATGATTTCCTTGTTTTTTTCAATTCCTGAGATTTTGGAGCCTTGAAATCAGCCAGTGAATCCCTTCCCCCCACCCCGTCCCTGACCCCCACTCTCTCCCTTATACCCCTCTTCTCTGACCAAAGGTAGAGTCTCCTGTCTTTGGCTCATGCCTTATCCCAGCACCTCTGCTTCAGTACAGGTGGAGAATGCTGGACATGGGCCAGGGTGAGAGGTATTAGGGCTGGGTTCTTTGCTGTTTTAAACCAAACTTATGGGTTAAAGGAAAATCCATGCTGGACTCTGCTGGGGTCATTGCATCTATGCCCTGCCTCACGCCCAGGGGACAGTCTCCTTGACACAGACAGAAGTAGGGTGTGGCATATGTATATGTGTGGGTGAGGGGTATGTGTGAAATTTTTTCCCCAGGAAGGGATGGTGGTTGATGAATATTCTTCCTTATTAGGAACAGTGAATAATAATAGTAGGCTGAGATGAGCATGTATGGGATGTATGTTGGGATGCTGCAGCATGTATATATGTGGGGTGAGGTGGTAAGCAGTCATTTGTCCAACCGCTTTGGTTCTGCTGGGCAAGAGAGAAGAGGGATAGACAAGATAGATTCTCCAGAGCTTTTTAGGCTAAGAAAAGTCAGTGCACAGTCTTTCAAGTTAGTGCCTATTTGGCTAGGGTGGCAGGGCCTGGAGCCAGGTGAGGGAGGGGAGCTGGCCTGGCTTGGTGTCTGTTGCTGTTCCAGGCTGTCCCTATCCCTCCAAGCAAGCATGTTTGCAGGAAAGGCCAAACGATTTGTTCCTCATCCCCTGGGTGTTACTTCTAGGTCTCTGACTCTTGGTCTAGTCATTTCTCTCTAAAAACACTAACTTGTGTGTTGTGTGTGTGTGTGTGTGTTTGGGCGAGGGGGGTGAGGCACCGAGAGAATGAGATGGACAGAGGGTGGGTTTCCTTTCTTCCAAAACCTGGACAGCCCTGCTTCACAGCTACCAGGAGTTCACTAGAAACAACTCGTAGATAATTAACTTCCATTTCTCTGGTTGCTGTTGAAACCCACTTCCACTTATCTCAGCACTCACTGGAGCTGAGAAACAGCAGCTCTCAAAACTTCATTTGTTTATAATTCTTCAAGGCTTTGACACAGTGGCAAGGTATTTTAATTTATCCCTGCTTTTGCCGGGTAGGAGTGGCAGGGAAGGCTTCCCGTCATAAAATCCTGGCTCTTGGCCTGTTTCTTCTCTTTTCCCTTCCTCCTGTCATACTCATCCCCATTAGTCTCCTTTCATCATTTCCACGTTACTCCCAACCCAGACCCATCTCCTAGGTTAAGGAGATGATTGATAGTCGCGCCGAATTTTCTTCCCTGGGCGCGTTCGCCTTCACCCAGAGCTCGCCTCTCGAGTTAGCCCCGCCCAGCCCCTCAACTGACCAATCGCGGCCCCTATGCGCTTGTATCGGTGACGTCATCGCACAGCCAATCCGGTGGCGGGCTGGGGCTGTATGCGCACGTCCACTTTGCACCGCAGAGGCTGGTTTTTTTCCTTCCCAACGTGAGCAGGAGCAGAGCTGGAGGCGGCAGAGGGGTTCCTGGTCCCCAGACCCCTCCTGGCCATCCCGTCACTTTTCTCTTCTTCCTCTGGGCTGGACTGATCTCTCCCCGGTTAATTCACAGTTAATCCCCCAGTCCCCGTTTTCCAGATGAGAAGACCAGTGCTGGGAGTGTTAAAGTAACTTGCCTAACCCTTGGTTTCTCTGAGCAAGTCCTCCTGACTTCCATTCACTGCTTGGGCGGGGGCTGGCGTCCCTGTTGAGCGGGTCTCCGGATAAGGACCCTTTGCTCCCTAGGCCCCTCCCCTACAGTTCCTAGTTCTCTTCCGGGCCTCGTCTTGCATTCATCTTTTCAGGTGGGTTAAAGCTCATTTGGAAGAACGGCCCTGGAAGAAGACTCTGGGCGGGAGCTGAATCTGCCTTAGCTCCTCTGAGGGACTGTTGGCAGGGCCCCTTCCCCTCGCACTGCAGACTCCTTCCCCACCACGGATTCGGGATGGTTCCTTGCCCCTGCACCCTTGCGCCTCCGGCTAACCCTTCCTCTCCAAAGAAGAGCCCCACCTCCCCAGAGCAAGGGTTTGGCCTGTGCTATTTCTGTCCTTTCTGGGATTCTTCTGAGAACAGATTCCTGTTTTCGGTCTGATTCAGATGTGAAACTTTTCCCGTGGCCTCTCACCCGGTTGCTGTGGGCTGGTCTGTGCCTCATCACTCCCCGCTTCTTCCCACCAGGCCCCTCCTGTTCCCCTCCCCAAAGTTCTCTCTGGTCAGTCGCCCAGTTCTGCAGAGACCTGGAGAAGGAAGTCAGGGGCCCAAGAGGGAGCCATCCCCCTCAAGGGCCCGGGGTCCCCGGGGCAGCATTCTGGTACTCTGAAGTAGGAAACTGATTCCCATGGCAAACCCTGTTGCTGTGCAGAGGAGCCACCTCCAGGGCCCCATCCTCAGGTAGGCGCCAGGGATGAGGGAGGGAGAGGCGAGGACAGGTTGCTGTGGGTCTACCAGTTGTTTGATGGAGGGGAGGGATCCAGCCTTGCCAGTCTCCTGTGTGTGTGTGTGTGGGTACCTTTTACCCTATATATCTTGCCTTTCACCGTATTCTCCCACTTCCATCTCCCTTTCCTTCTGTTGCTTCCTCTTGACTGTGGCAGGTGTTTCCTCCCGCCTGTCTCTCCTTCCTGACCTCCAGCATTCTTAGAACCTCACATTCCTCTGAAATCTGCTTATCTGGTCTTAAGAACACGAAAGGGAAATTGGATCCTTCTCCCAACTCCCAGGCCCTTGGCTTGAGGCCGCCCTGTCCTAAGCCCCTACTTGCAGTGATCTTTCTGGGAGTGTGGGTGCTGGAAGTACTGGGAGGGGGCTTGGGAAGTGGCCAGGTCATCAGCCATGTGGTGATCCAAAAAATATGAACTGGTTGGCAGGGGAGGCTGAGCTCTTCTGGGTGTTGGGATCATTCCTGCCTGGAGCCTTCTCTTCCATTTGGCTGCCTAGAGCTGGGAGAGACTGGGGCCTCCTAGGGATCAGGATCAGAGGCTTTTCTGGGTGCAGGGGCTGAAGGTCCAAAACTACCACTGGAGGACCAGAGAAGTAGTGGTTTGGAGACAGGCCTGTGGTGGAGGCTGAAGGACTGTTGGTGAAGTTTCCAGTTTTCCTTAGCTCTGGATGACAACTGAACAGGGGAGGGCATCCTGTTCTGCAGGGAAGGAGACCATTCCCTGGCCAGATTCTCAGTGAACTGAACCAGAGGGGTGGATTGAAACTGACATAGGTGGGGAGGTAGGATTTGCTGCAGAAGAATGGTGAGATGACTTGTGTCTGGGAGATCCTAATTCTGAAGGACTTTAGAATCAGAGTCTGCTGCCAGGCCAGAAAGTGGGTGTATAGGGGAGCTACAGAACTTCAGGAAGGTGAAGTTCAGCCCCAGAGCCTTCCAGCTGCCCGAGTCCAGGTCCGCTTCCTTGAATCCCCATTTGTCAAATTTATCCTTCAATCTTTCTTTCCCTTCCTCCCCTCTCCTTCTGGTATCTGGATCATGTTCGGTTCTGATTTTAATGGGAGCTGTAAAAGAGCTCCTGGACAAGATCTAGAGGTGAAGGCAGGAGGGGGTTGGAGGGGAGTGTGTGTGGGAGGCCAGCAACAACCTCACTCTTCTCCCAGGCTCTCCATTAGTTTCAGAAACCCTGGCTCAGAGATCTCCATTGTGAGCTCCAGCAGATAGCCCCCCACTGGATTAATCTGCTCCATTTCCTTCTTATTTTCTTAATGAACGTTTACTGTGAACATTTCTTAATGTTAAGAATGAACATTTCTTAATGAGCATGTACTGTGTGCTCTGAGTACAGCAACCAGGATAAACAAGTCACTGTCAGCGCCATCAGGACGCTCACGATCTGCTGTGGGCCGGCAGACACCAAGCTTCCTGAGGGAGGATGACTGTGGCTGGCGCAGCTGTGATGCATGGGTTCTGGCCTCCTGCCAAGTGGATTCTGCACTGAGCTCCTTCTGCCCCACACCTTGGTAGCTGGGGCAGTTAGGCTCCAGTAGTGGGAGTCGTAAGCTTGCTGACCTGACTGAGACTGACAGGTTGTGTCACCTTGGATAAGTCACTTAACCTACCTCAAAAGGTGATTGTGAGGCTCAAATGTGGTTTGTAATTAGAAAGGAGACATCGTGGCCGTTATCATTCTTCCATATCCTGGTGGGTGGCTTCCGAATTACCAGCCTTCTTCTCTTCCTGGACTTGGGATGGAGAAGGCAGGCACTTGTTGATTTGAAGGGCGTGATCTAGGTAGGGCCAGCAAGGTGCTCGTCAGTGAATTCTGATTCAAATCAAATGTGTAAAGACCGACTGTATGCACCAGGCCTTTGCATACGTCATGTCACTGAATCCTCTTCTCAACAGCCCTTCCCAGGTGGTTTGTCATCCTCCTCATGATTTTACAGATGAAGGAATCAAGGCTCTAACACTGAAGTTCTTAAGTGCATGAGAGTCATCTGAGAGGTTTGTTATAAATGCAGATCCCTGGACCATACCCTCAGAAATTCTGGTTCAGTAGGTGTTCAGTAGCATCTCAGTTTTTCACAAGTATGCCAGGTGATTCTGATGCCAGTGGTCTACAGGCCACATTTTGATAGACACTGATTAAAAATTAGTGACTTACCCAAGGGCTCAGAGCCTGTAAGTGGTAAGATTGAATCCTGCCTCCCTGACCTATGCTGGGAGCCTTGGTTTCTGCATTGAAAAGATGGGTAGCAGTTCCTTCCCACCTCCTTCCCTCCCTCTAGGCCCATTGTGAGGATAAAATGAGATAAAGTAGGAGAAAGCACTTTTAAAAATGTAGAGCTGGCAGCATTGTTAGTGATTATGCCAATATATGCAAATGAGCACCCGTGGGCTCAGCTGTTCACTTGAGGAGCCTGTGCTGGGATGTGTGTTTCCAGAGATGGGTTGAGAAAGAAACTGGAAAACTTTGGCGGTGGGCATGGACCCCTAGGGATGGAGTTTTGGATTTTCTGGAGGGCTGACTGAGGTGGGAGATTAAGGGCTGGAATGGGAGTAGGGGGGAGAGATAGGCAGAAACCTTTCTTTCTTCCTGGGTTGTGGGTCCCCAAATTCACGTGTCCCTGGCCACGGGGAGTGACCAGGAGAGGGAAGCCCCAGCTTGTGGCCGCGTACCTCTTTGTTGTGCCAGCTCTGGGTGAGTGCTTGGGGAGATGCTGGCTCAGTCCCTCATGTCTAGCTCACTGGCTGAAAAGCCTTTATGCTGTGTAGCCTCTATTCCTCTTCCCTAATGAAGCTGGAGCCGGGGCTGAGCTTTACTGAGGCCGGCCTCTTTCTTGTTAAACAACCCACTCTTTCCACTTGGAGAGCTGCAGCAGGAAGGCTGAAGTGGGGGCTGAAGACAGCCCACTGAAGAGGCTGTGGTGCCCCTCCAACACTTTCCCTTCCCATTCCCCCTTTCCTTTCTCTCCCATTTGCACTCAGACCTGTCTTCAGCCAGGACTGCTGGCCCTGAGGTGAGAGTTGGCCTGTGACGGCTATTTTGGGCACCCCTATTCCAAAGCTGCTGAGACCTCAGGATTCTAGAGCTGCTTCTGTTCAGGAATGCCATTGTTCTCCCTCCCCCGGGCATCCCTGGGAACTGATGCTAATTTCAGCCTCTTCATCCCTGACTCATTCTCTCCTCCCTGACTCATAGGGTGACCTTGGGCCTCAGAGCCCCTCTCAGTGGGGAATCGTGATGGCCACCATTTCACCCTGGTTTTGGTGTTAGGTGGGGTGGGGCAGGGCTGGGGAAGGAGTGAGGGGAGAATGTTGAATTGCTTACTTTAAAATCACCATCTAAAGACAGCTTTGTTTGCTTTGTGACTGCCTGGGCTAGACTTGCCAGACTTCTCAGAAGCCTCCCAGTTAATCACTGACCCCCAGAATTCTTGAGTGTAGGATATGAGGGATTGTCCCTGTAGTCAAAGCAGCCTGTAAGTGAGACCCCTGTCCCTACCTGTTCCACTTTGGCTCTTGGGGAAGATTCTGTGGGGCAGAGGAAGGGGATGGGCACAGCTACATTAGGCCAGAGATTCTCTGTGGCATGGCACTGAGGAGGCAGGGGTTAATCCTGCTTTGTCCTGGTTGATGGATTCTGGAATCATAATCCATTAACTCTGCCTGGATGGAGTGAGGCTAGGCAAAAGCATTCAGATTGGTCTTTGTTCTGCATCTTCTCCATCCTTGCCAGGGACAGAAGGGCTGTGGATATGCACCTGCCCCCCTCCTCCCTAACCAAGAGACATGAGAGCCCTGGGGCCCTTCTGATTGATGCTGACCCCAAACCCTCTCTCTTGGGGGAAATAAGTAAGCAGTTTCAGCTTTGGTTATTTGGACATGAAACAGATCATCCCACAAATGTCACCCCAGGTCTTGTACCGGCCTAATTCTGCTGGGCCTGGCAGTCTAAACAAGAATTTTCAGGAAACACGGTCAGGGTGGGGATGATGGGGTCAGGAAAAGCCTAGGATTAATCTTTGAAGGTAAACTTAATACAGGCAGTGGCAATAGCCTGGGATGAAAAACCTTAGCTGCTGTTACTGTTAGAAAGATGCATGATTTATGGAAGACTGAAGCTGTTTCTGTAAAATGCACTCCATTAGAGGGTATCCTATTCTTATGACAAGAGAGTGGCCCCTAAGCAGGATCTGCCCCCCACAGGCTGCGCTACATGGTGAAGCAGTTGGAGAATGGGGAGGTAAACATTGAGGAGCTGAAGAAAAACCTGGAGTACACGGCATCTCTGCTGGAGGCTGTCTACATAGATGAGACGCGGTGAGAGCAGGGGCGCTGGGCCCGGGGAGAGACTGACGCCCAGGAGAGAGACACCAGTCAGTCACAGGGATCCTGGGGATGGGAGTAAGACAACAGCTGGAGATAAAGATGTAGGGCCTGAGCGGGAAGGGAGAGCAAGAGGGGCAGGTACAAAGAGCTATAGGTGGAAATGTCAGCAGAGATAAAGAGGCAGAAGAATGGGCGTAGAGCTGCAGAGATAGAGACAGACACAGATATCAAGAGGGAGAGAAGAATTTCAGAGGTGGATGGGCCCTTAAAGCTTGTCCTTCCAGCGTGGAATCCCTCCAGACCTCTGCTCTCCAATGTCGAAGCCATTGGTTACACATGGCCATTGAGTGCTTGGAACGTGGCAAGTGTGAATTGGGAGGTGTCTGTATATGTGAAATGCATGCTGGATTTCAAAGATTTAGAAAAAAGAATGTAAAATAACTCTATATTTTATGTTGATTTCACATTGAAATCATATTTTGGGTGTATTAGGTTAATAAAAATTTATCATTAAGATGAATTTTACCTGTTTTTTTCCCCCTTTTTAATGTGGCTCTAGAAAACTTAAGATTCCTTATATATGGCTTGTACTTTATTTCTGCTGGCCAGTGCTGCTAGTCTGTGGCATCCCTGACAAGCGGTATCCATTCCATTGTCTGCTGGAACACTTCCAGAGCTGGGATGCTTGCTGCCTCACATAGTGACCTATTTTATTATTGGAGACATCAGATAGAGAAACAAATCAAAAGGCATAGCGAGAGAAAGGAAAGAGAGGGTCAGTGAGGGGAGAGATCTGGTGCAGTGGCACTGAGCTGTTGGGTGTGGCTGGGCCCAGGGCCTCTGGGTTGTGCAAGCACCTGCTGTCTTTCCTCTGTGACTCCCTTCTGGGTCCTCAGGCAAATCTTGGACACGGAGGATGAACTGCAGGAGCTGCGGTCAGATGCTGTGCCTTCTGAGGTGCGGGACTGGCTGGCCTCCACCTTCACCCAGCAGGCCCGGGCCAAAGGCCGCCGAGCAGAGGAGAAGCCCAAGTTTCGGAGCATTGTGCATGCTGTGCAGGCTGGGATCTTCGTGGAGAGGTGAGGCTCGCCCATGCTCAGCCTCCCTCTGCCCCTAGTTGGGTACTTCATTCCCAGTTACCCGGGTCTTCCAGGACCCCACCATACCACCAGCAGGATGGTCCCACGTCCCCACAGGCCGTCCCCACAGCCCCACCTGATCAGACCCCACCTCCAAGACCATCATACAAGAGATTCTTTCATTCTCCCCTAGGATGTTCCGGAGAACATACACCTCTGTGGGACCCACCTATTCCACTGCTGTCCTCAAGTGTCTCAAGGTGATCCCTGGGTTTTAAGGAAAGAGGAGGAGGTTGGGGGATGGAATAGTTACTGAAATTTTCAGACTTTTTATGGGGTAATTTTTGCCTTTTCTTTTAACATGTTACTTCCGTCTTCCTCAAAGCAACTTTTGTCCACTCCAGAGGCAGACTCCTGCCTTCTTGTCTCTCCCATACTGAGAGATCTGGGAGGAAAGAGGCCACCTGCTTCCCGAGTCTCTGTACTAATTGGGAAGTCCACCTGGAATTCTAACTACAACCCTTACTGCTGCTGGGATGCTCCACTTGGGGTTCTTCCTGCCTAGTCTATTGTTTCTCCACAGAACCTGGACCTCTGGTGCTTTGATGTTTTTTCCTTGAACCAGGCAGCAGATGACCATGCACTGCGGACTATTGTTTTTGAGTTGCTGACTCGGCATACCCTCATCAGCCGCTTTAAGGTTGGGCAGCATCCTACCCCTGCCTGTGGGCAGGATTCGCCACTCCATCACTCCTATCCTGAAAACCCCCCAATAAGTAGATCCACAGACTCCCTCTCAGCCTCACTGTCAGGGAAGTCCCCCGGGCCCACCCCTGGCTAGCCTATCTTTCACTTGCTGTAGTCCTGGCCTCTCACTTCCTCTGTTCCTTCCTAGGGGAAGAGTCTAGGTCTGCAGCCATCTGGCCTAGGAGCTGTTCTCTTCCCCTTTACTTCCTTCCCCTAACTGTCCTCTCCAGCCTGGCCTGAAGTTCACCTTCCTGTTTAAGCAGCATTGCTTCCTGCCTGGGGACACCAGAGGCCATGGGTGCAGATGCTGACAGCAGTGTCCTTGGGACTAGAGTTGTTGCATTTGTTTCCTGGGGTTGGGTGTAGAGGGAATGGGATAAAATTGGCTGCTCCCCTGCCCCTTCGTCCCCACAGGTCTAGTTTTGTCCAAAGAATTTTATGGAGAGGATCAGCTTTTGGCAAGGCTGGATAGGCCTGGATGAAGGGAGGGAGGGTGTGTGAACTCCATTTGCCTTTCAGCTTGGCTGGCCAGGAAGAATATAGGATTAAAGTCCTCTCCAGATTCTGTGCCAGGAGGGAGCGTCTTTTGGGAATTGGGGCTGGAAAAAACGACTTTCACGTAGAGAAACCACACTTGGAAGTGGAGGGCGAGGGGTTTGAAGAATGGATAGAAGGGGTATTTGCTCAGCACTTAGGTGGGGGTGGCCAGTACACGTTAGCACAGAGGAAAACGCCTGTGTTTTGAGTTGTGGCAGGGGTGCCTCCCAGAGGGCTTTGGAAGATGGTCCAGCCCTCCTCCACCTCCACCTACTGTAATAGTCTGTGGTGCATGGGAGTCTCTACTAGACCCTTGACTCCTCCTTTTACAACAACTCCCAAGAGGGTTTCGAGAACTTTCCTGAGATGCTCAGTTGGGATTTTCTTCAGTGCCTTCCTGAGGCCTGTCCTTCAGCAGTTTCATTTTTTTCCCTCCAAACTGGCCTTCTCCAAGATGAGGAAACAGCAGGGTCCTCTTTTTCCTAAGTTTCTCAGCTCCTGTTTCTCCAAACTGGGTCTCAGACGTACTCCAGATACCAGCTTCTCCTAAACTTGTCTTTCTTACTTGGGAGGACTGGATTTGGGGGACCCCAGGAGTAGCTGCCTTATTGGGTTTCTCTGAGCCCCAATCCGCCTCGCTCCAAGGCAGTCAGGGACAGAGGGCACTTACAGCTTTAGTGATCCCTCCAGGTAGAGACCCAAGTTGGCGCTGCCCTTCTCAAGCTCCACATTCCCTTCCTGGGCACCCAGCCCCTCCCTTGCCCCTCCCCTTCCCTTCCCTGCAGCGACGCCATGGCAACGCAAAAGCAAGGGCAGTTGTCATGGAAACAGTCCTTTAAAATTCCCTGAATTTGGGGCACAGCCCTTGGGGTAGGGGGTGGGGGATGTTAGGGTCTGACTGACTAGTGGCACATTCTGAGTCTTGTCATTATTGTTTATTTCTGCAGAGGCTTCCCCAAGTCCTGAGCCTCACTCTGCTCCAGGCCTCAGGAGATGCAGGGACGGGTCCAGACACTAGCCCTGCCCTCTGGTTGCCTTGAGCCTTTGAAGGAGGCAGACATACCCCAAGGTCATATGCAGACACAGAGACAGAACTGAGAGAGAGTACCAGGCCAGAGCTTTGGCTCCTGGGGCTTGTTTTTGGGGTTGGAGAGGGCAGGGTAGGCTGCTTGTTGGGGTCATCCACCTCTGGCTTGTTCATCCTATTCCTTCCCCTGCTTCTGAGTCCCTCTTCATGGTATTGGGTTGGGGTGGGTGGGATGGCTGGAAAGGAGGAGGGAAGCTTTCTTTTCTTTTCTTAAAAATCCCCAGGGAAGTAATAATAATTATAGCTACTCTTTAGAGAGCATTTACTTAGTGCCTTATACTTATCTCATTAAATTCGAGGTAGGTGTATTATCTTCATTCTTCAGTTAAGAGGCTGAGGCACAAGGAGGCACATGACTTGCCCAAGGTCACACAGCCAGTAGGTGGTATGATCAGGATGTGAACCCAGGTTCACCTGACTGCAGAGCCAGTGCTCTCTCCCTCTGCCCTGCTGCCTTCTACAGAAAGATGGCATTGCTGGTTTCAGTCCTGGGCCACCTGCCATTGCTGCAGAGCCTCCATGTATTTCAATTTTCTCCTTTCCTACTGCAGATTCCCACTGTGTTTTTGATGACTTTCCTGGATGCTTTGGAGACAGGCTATGGGAAGTATAAGAACCCTTACCACAACCAGATCCATGCAGCTGATGTTACGCAGACAGTCCATTGCTTCTTGCTCCGCACGGGGATGGTGGTAGGTGCCCTGGGGCTCACTCTTCTGTGATTCAGGCTCTTATGGCTGCAGAACTGGGAAGTCTAGACTATACTCTTGTTTCTCCTTTCTGTCTTTGGTTCCTCTCTTTTGGCATATCAAAGTCTTTACAGAGTCAAAGGGGACTTACTCTAAAGAATTCCCAGGCGGACCATAACTTCATGGCAGTGCTGGGGATGTATGCTGGGAGGCGATGGGAATGTTGCTGGTTGGGATGGAGGAAGGTCTTTGGCCATTCCAGGAGCTGAGAAACCTGGCTGCATTAGCCCAAGAGCTGGCCTTGAAGAATGGAAGGGATGTGCTGGGTGGTCTGGCCTGCATGTGGAGGGCTTTGTGCTGTTACTGGAAGGGTCAAGCCCTCATCTGCTGTCTCCTCCTAGCACTGCCTGTCAGAGATCGAGGTCTTGGCCATCATCTTTGCTGCAGCCATCCACGACTATGAGCACACAGGCACTACCAACAGCTTCCACATCCAGACCAAGTGAGGGGCAGGGACATGGCAGGGGCAGGTGGGGCTGATGGATGTGGGGGACACTGCCAGAGTCTCCACTTACAGGGGACTGGGTGTGATGGGCTTTGGCTTTGTAGGTCAGAATGTGCCATCCTGTACAATGACCGCTCGGTGCTGGAGAATCACCACCTCAGCTCTGTTTTCCGAATGATGCAGGATGATGAGATGAACATTTTCATCAACCTCGCCAAGGATGAGTTTGTGTGAGCAGAAGCCAGGCGTGGGCATCCCTACGAGACTCTTCCTGCCTCTGGGACCTCCTAGCAGTGCCGTGGGGGCTGATCGCTTCTCTGTCTGTCCCTTCAGAGAGCTGCGGGCCCTGGTCATTGAGATGGTGTTGGCCACAGATATGTCCTGCCACTTCCAGCAAGTGAAGTCCATGAAGACGGCCTTGCAGCAGCTGGAGAGGTGGCACCTGGTGGGGTGTGGCTGGGGCTGGGCCAGAGGGAGGCCTGTGCGAACTGGGGGGGTACACATGGGTAACTGGCATGGCAAGGATTCACCTGGTTCCAGGTGTCTGAGTGTATCTCTGTATGCGTGAGTGTGACATGTATGTGCACATGGCCCTGGGTTTCTGCACAGGTCAGGCAGCTGGTCTACCGGAGGACACTCTGGGCGGGGAGTCTGAGAGGAGCGTTCTCATGGCACCTACAGGACAGGCTTCTTCTGGAATGTTGGGAAGATCAGTCAACCCTCTGGATTTGTTTCCTTGTCTGTGAAATGTGAAGATGCTCTGCCTCTGCCCCCAAGAGCCTGCCCCCACCAGTTCCTATTCTAACAGGGCTATTGAGGTGTCATGTAGGGTTAAAGGAAAAAAGGCACAGGACAAATGCCATAATTACACCTAATGTTCTTTAAAAGTGGGTGGGAGTTTATAGATGTGTATAAGAGAGGATGGACTGTGTGTATCCTGAAGATGTGTGTTAATGTGTGGTGTCTATGTGTGGGACAGTGTGCAGTGTCAGAGCATGTCATTGTTGGGGAACAATGATGGTAGATAACATCTACTGAGTGCTTATGATGTGCTGGATACTCTTCTAAATACTTATATGTTGTATGTCATTTAATTCTCAGAACAGCTCTGTGTGGCAGATCCTGTCATTATTCCCACTTAGGACTGAGGAGAGTGAAATACGGAAATTTTAAGTAACTTGTTCCGTGTTTCACAGCAAGTGTGTGATACATGCAGTGGGGATTTGAACCCAGGCCATCTGAGTATAAAGATGGGCTGCTTCCTGTATGTATAGAAGTGTGTGTGTTCTCAGAGGGTATTTGCACTTACTGGAAAGGATATGAGAGAGGCATGTGATGGGAAATGAGGAACGGTCGAGGTTTCCTTTTCCTAAAGGATTAGTCTCCCTTCCCTTGCCTCCTGCCCCGACCAGGATTGACAAGTCCAAGGCCCTGTCTCTACTGCTCCACGCTGCTGACATCAGCCACCCCACCAAGCAGTGGTCAGTTCACAGTCGCTGGACCAAGGCCCTCATGGAGGAATTCTTTCGCCAGGTAGGAGGCTGTGGGGTCTTCCCTCTCCTTTGTTCTCCGTGTTCCCTGCTCTGACTCCAGATCTTCATTTGGCTACCGGCAGCTTCTGACCTGATCCCAGACCCACGGGATAATATCTCCTTATCTTAAAAGCTTAACAACAGTTGCTGGCAGTTGTGTTCATTTGCTTATCACCCATTTCTGGGTCAAAGGCGCAGAAATTCCTCTTCTCCCATGATGACCCCCTGTTGCCCCCAGCTGCGCCTGGATCTGGTAGTCTGAGGTCTCCCCTCCAGCTGTCCCACCATCTTCTCTCCAGGGTGACAAGGAGGCAGAGCTGGGCCTGCCCTTTTCTCCGCTGTGTGATCGCACTTCCACACTCGTGGCACAGTCCCAGATTGGTGAGTGTCCTTTCCCCCGGGAAGAGAGGGTTGGGAAGGGCAAAGGGTGCTTTCTGGGCCTGGGCTGGGCCTGCTCCAAGTCCCTGCCCCTCAAGAGCATTCTTCCCATAGAGGCAAGCCTGCTGTGCCAGAGCAGGAAGTCCTGGTGGGCAGGTGTTCTGTGAGTCAGCAAGGCTGCCGCCACCGGGAACTTCTGTGCCCCTGGTTCCCCTGTTTTACAGGCAGCCATGGTCACAGCCAAGCCAGCCATGTCCTCTGCCCTGCCCTCCAGGTAAGACCTCTCCGCTGTTACCCCCGTCACTGCAGGGTTCATTGACTTCATTGTGGAGCCCACGTTCTCTGTGCTGACCGATGTGGCTGAGAAGAGTGTCCAGCCCCTGGCAGATGAGGACTCCAAGTCGAAAAACCAGCCTAGGTGAGGGTGGCTGGGGTAGCCAGGTCTTCTGGTTCTGCGTGAGGGAAGCTGGACACCCACAGAGAGGACCAACTCATGGGGTGGGGGGCAGCTGGTTCGGGTGAGGGGAAGCAGGTAACCCCAAGCTTGGGAGCCCCTCTGCTGCGTGTCACACACACGGGTGGGAGGGTGGGACTTGTGCTGTGTTCCCTCCCACCATGTTTTTGTCTCTTCCATTAGCTCTACCTTTATTGCCTTTCTGCTAATCTTGTGTGTAGCTTCCTTCTAGTAGGAGGGAAGGTGTGGAGAGGGAGGGGTGGGATTGGGGAGAGGGACAGGGACACGTGGTACCAAGCAGAGGGAAAAGAGAAGGGTGACACTCCCTATGCCTGTCCTGCTCTTCCATCCCCTCTGCTCTGAGGGCTGTGAAGGCTGTTCTGGAGTGGGCTGGGCCTCACCTCTGGAGCTGGGGTGGGGGTCTGCTTTTAGCTTCCAGTGGCGCCAGCCTTCTCTGGATGTGGAAGTGGGAGATCCCAACCCTGACGTGGTCAGTTTCCGCTCTACCTGGACCAAATACATTCAGGAGAACAAGCAGAAGTGGAAGGAACGGGCAGCAAGTGGTGGGTGCCGTCCTGGGGGACGAGGCCTTCAGGGAGGGTGGCTAATGGAGCAGGGACAGGCCGTTTCCCTGAAGCCTGGAGCAACCCTTGTGTGACTCCTAGACTTGGGAATGGAGCTCAGCAGACTTAAGTTAGATCACAGGGAAGACTAGGGGATTGCCCTGGACTGTTCTAGAATGAGGACCAGAGAGAGGGTAGGAACAGCTGTACTCCGCAACCCAGGAGACCCATGCACAATGTAAATGGTGTCCCTGTAGATTTGGATGGCCTGGCTGGGAAATCTCTTCATTTAGGTGGGAGGTGACAGTTGTGAATTTCTTAGAAAGGTTAGAGAGGCTCTCCCCAAGTGGGCCTGGGGTGAAGGCAGCTCAGTTTGAAGGCAGGAGGATGCATGAGAACCCCTTACTTCTCTCCATGTACTCCTGGGACTCTGGGGAAAGAGACTTCTGGCCCCGACTTGCTTCACGCGCCCCTGCAGGCATCACCAACCAGATGTCCGTTGACGAGCTGCCCCCCTGTGAGGAAGAGACCCCGCCCTCCCCTGCCGAAGATGAGCACAACCAGAATGGGAATCTGGACTAGCCTGGGGCTGGCTCGGGTGAGCCTGTCTGCTGGAGCCCGGAGGCCTTGAGGTTCTGCGGGGAGGAGGGAGAGCTGGGTGACTCACACGGCGTCTACCAGGAGTCACCTCTGGGTTCAGAGTGTGAGGTTCTCCCTACCTTTCCAGGCAGGAAAATGGAGGAAGTGAACACAGAACTGAGCCAGGGTGTGAGGCAGGAGTGGGGAAATCCTTCCACACCGCCCTCCCATCCCAGCCCTGTGGGAAGGAGGTAGCTCCTCCAGACAGGGTGCGGCCTGAGCAAGGCTGCCCAGCCTGGGGAACACCTTTGGGAGGTTTGGGAAAAGCAACCAGCCAGGGCACAAGACTCTGTGAGGTCAGTCGGGCATGACTTCAACTGCAGCCCCCGTTCACATCCCTGGCCGGGCACCCTTCTGCTAGGCCTTTTTGCACAACTGTATGTGGGACTGAGTGGGGATCTGGTGGGACTTGGAAAAGGTAAGTCACGTCAGAGATACAGGCAAAGATCAGACCACTGTGGCTTCTTCCTCTTTCTGCAGGTCCTCACTGAGTCCAGAATGTTCTATGTCATCAGCACCATTCATCGGGACCGGCTCCTCCATTTGCCAAGGGCGTGTGGAGGTTGAGGAATACACAACCCACCCGAAAGCCAAATGCCAGAGATTGTGGGGTTGGGGGACACCCATTGGGGCGCACTTTAATCTCCCAGCAGCAAGGCTGGGGAACTTCAGGCTCCCAGTGGTCACTGTCCCCACTCCCCTGCGTCTGGACTCCCAGCATGGCCAGATGGCTGACTGGGAGGGGCATGGGGGAGGGTGGGAGATGCCAGCCCCCTGGGCCCTCCCCCATCCTTTTTGCCTCCAAGTTTCTAAGCAATACATTTTGGGGGTTCCCTCAGCCCCCGACCCCAGATCTTAGCTGGCAGGTCTGGGTCCCCCTTTCCTCCCCTGGGAGGGGCTGGAATAGGATAAAAAGCTGGGGATTTCAGAGCCCTGTGTTTGAAGAGGGGAGTGGCTCCTTCAGGGCATGGTACCTTTCTAGGGCCTGGAATGCGGGGGACATCCTCTTTACCCCAGACCTGCTTCAGCCCCATCCTCAGTCTGATGCCCCTGCAACCTTCCCTCTTCCATTCTAAAATGACCATGGGGAAGAGAGGAGCCGCTGGGACCAGGGGCTGAGTGGAGGCCTTTCCTGAGGTCCTCAAGAATTTGGGTTTGGTCTAGGCTCCTGGGGCTTGTCACCTGCTCGGCTGCTCCTGAGCCTTTGCCTCCTTCCTCTCCTCTGGGGCTGGGAGGCTACCATCTGACCAGTGTCTGTAAAGTGCTCTGAGGTCCCCCCAGCCAAGCACCTTCAGGATGCATCAGCACAGGCAGGACAGACTACTGGGGTTGGGGTCTGGGGTGCATGGGGAGGATGAGATGTAAGCCAGTAATCCTGTGTTGCTAACAGAGGGTCCTTCCCCTCTCCCCAGCCCTGGCCCAACTACAGGCACCAAGAGGCCCCTCACTTGTGGGGGACAAGGTGGGCATGGTATGTAGAAGGCAGATGGTGAGGGGCTCAGGGCTGCTGCTGTCCTGTCCTCTAAGAGATGCCAGCCAGGCCCTTCCTCTCTTCAGGCTCCTCTGGCCCCACCTGCCCTGGCCCCGGAAAGGCCCATGTCCAGGTGACTGCCCTCCTTTCTTGTAAATAGCCAACCACACATTTGTACAGTGGGCCCTGTTTGTGTGAAGTTCATATCCATGGTCTCTTAGACCAGCCACCTGATACTTGTCCCTCCTACCCCACCCTGAGTGGGGCAGAGACGCATGTGACTCACCTCTGCCCTTGGTCTCCCAGAACCCTGCTATAGCCAGAGATCAATAAAGAAGGGAGACCAGGCCTGGCTGTGTTTGCTGTTCACTGGTGGGGGTCCACTGAGCATCTTCATGCACACTGTCTCCAGCTCACTGAAATTCTGGGTGTTCTCCCTGTTATATGTGTACAGGTGGACAGGCTGAGGCCCAGAGGGGCGAGGACTTGCCTGAGGAAACACAGTAGGGATGGCAGAAGTGGAACCTTACACTTCAGAGATTCTTTTTTTTCCTCCATCACACTGCTTCTCCAGTAAGGAGGGGCGAGTCTTGCTTTCTCTCCCCACTTCCCTTCCACCACCTGGAAAAACCAAAAGCAGTGGGCAGGAGAGGACTAGCTATGGAGTCTGAAGGAGCTGCTTCTCCTCCGCTTGGATTTGGTTTTTCACCCTGGCCCCTTGGTGTTTAGGACATGGGGGAGAGATGACCTTTCCTGTTTCTAGCAAGGGCCTCTTCATTAATTGTTGCTGTTCTCAATCCATCTTTGCTAATGGGTTAGACTAGGGGTGGTGGTCTCCTTACAGCTGGAGGAGGGCACACATCATGAAGCCTGGGCATCACTGAGGCTTGGAGAGCCGGCAAGGAGGTACCCATACTACGCAAACCTCCTCTCTGCCAGGGGCCGAGCACCTGGGTGCAGTTCCCCCTTTGTCCAGCAGACGGCGCCCAGTCACAGTGGAACAGGCCTTAGAGCTGCAAGTCTCCCAGGGGCAGGGCAACCCTGCCGGGTGGTTGGTTCTATCATTTCCAACTTAAGAGCCTGGGGCCATCCTTCCTTCTTGGTACAGTGGAAGTTAGTCCTCCCACCTCTCTGATCCCCACTTCTCCCGCAACAAGTAAGGGCAGGGTTGGGGAAGAACTGCCCCCTTCTCAAAGTTCCTGCCCAGCTTCCCTATTTCCTCTTTTACAGAGGCAGTTGAGCAGAAGGGTAGGGGGCTATAGAAAAGGCAGGACAAGAAGGGAGGGAGAAAAGATTGTCCAAGTGGGGAAAGAAGAAAAATTCCAAGAACCTAACACCATATTTATCACTTTTTAAAAACGAGATTTTCCCCAAAAGTAGAGAAATAAGAAATCCAGTGTCCATGCATTTCCAACTGCAGTCTTGATTCTAGGATATGTTCTTCACTCTCAGACCTGCTGTGGGGGAAGGGAGCAGAAATAAAGAATGAGTGAGGGGCCAGAGCTGCTACTGTCTCCTCCCCTGCTGTTCTGCCCAACCACTGGTTAGAGTCAAGCATTGAATTTCGGAGATCCGACACCAGTCCCTGCCCCCTGGACAGGTGAGGATTTCCCTTTGGGCTCCAAATGCCCTTGATCAGAAAATCCATGGTCTAGTTCCATCACCCATTCCAGGAGCCAGAAGTCCTTATACAGAGTCTAACTCAGTCTTTCCTGCTTCAGCTTAATCTCATTTCTCTTCATTTGTCTGTCAGAGGAGATGCGATATCCCGGCCATTGAGGACAGCTCTTCCGTGACTGAAGCTGGTCCTCTGTCCCCCTTTCCTCTGGCTCTAGGTCTCAGCCCTTGCTCTCATACACACAGCCTGTTCTCCCGCAGACCGGGCAGCCCAACCCGGGGGTCTTACCGAGTTGGCTCCCTGGGAATCCAATGGTAGTATATATGCTGGGGCTTCCTCTGTGCTGGGTTTCTCCCTGCCCCCCTCCTGAATTTTAGGGATGGATTCTGCAGGCTCTAAGGAGGGAAAAGGAGTGGTGGGAGGGAGAGGCAGTATTCAGTCTTCACAGGGCTTGGTGAGGGGGAGCTGCTTCTCTCACCATCCTATACTCCAGTGACCCCTGAGGGAAGCCCAGGACCCAGCTGGGGACAGTTGGACAAGTCTAACAGGATTTTCTCTGATCACAATTACTATGATAGGTTCACTATGTTCTCTTATCTGTAGTCAGAAATTGGGGAAGAAAAAAAAAACCTAAGAAAAGTTAAAAAAATTTGGGAATAATCTCAGGCTAAACCTGACCTGAACTGATATGAAACTATTTATAGTCTATTTATCCCATTCAGTGGGGCCATTCATTTCACTGCAGAACTATTAATATGTTTGATGACAGGGTGCTCTGCTGGGGGTGGTTTTTAATATACAGTATTTATACTGTGTCACCTTCATATAATTGGAAAAATTCTGAATTTGGAATACACATCTGGAGTGAAGGACTGCAGACGTGTATTAACAGCAGCACTAGCCACTTCCATTTGTTGCACGCTTTGTAAGTGTCAGCTGCTGGGCTGAGAACCAGTCTCATTTAATTTTCACAAACAACCCAATGCAATAGGCACCATCATTATCATTTTATAGACTGAGGTTAAGTAAGATGCTCATGGCCTGTGGTCTGGCTAAGTGATGGGGCCGGCATTTTAGCCTTTGAATTCTGTTGCCCTTGTGGTGGGCTGCTGGGCTGCTGGCATAGTACAGGGAGCTCTGAAGTCCAAGTTGGGAGGGGTTGGTGTGATTCAGTAAGGAAAGGAGAAGATATACAAACATATGCAATACATGCATATACATCCATGTTCTCAGGACAGTTTCTGGCTGTGGCTAGACCCTGCCCCATAAATGGTAAGGCTTGCCTGCTGCTGGGCTGCTCCCTCCCCAGCCTGAACGTACTTTGTGCTTTCCCAGAGGTGCCCATCCTTGACTCTGCTTCTGTGTCTGTGATCCCAGGTGGGCAGGTCTCCTGGGTCCCTGTGCTCTCAGCAGCTCCCTCAGGCTCCTCTCCCTGCTGCTGTTGCCCTAGGTGATGTTCAACCATCATCTGGAGCTCTGGGGGCACAGAGAAAGGGGGTGAACATTGGACCTGACTGCTCAGGCATGGACCCTTCAATTCAACAGCCCCACTGAGGGGCCATCACACATCACCAGTATGACGTTTCCATCCCTGGGATCCAAACAAGCAGGGCATTTGCTAACAATAGGTGAGACTAAAGCTAGAAAATAAAACACACTTCCTTCAAAGGTTAAGGAGGGGAGGGGAAGAGCCTGTAAGAACAAAAGACCCTCCTAACTTACTGAGATATTTGGTCTCTCTTGGGGGCAAGAGAAAAGACCTAATTTAGATTCAAGAAATGTTTGAGTACCTTCTATGTACTGTGCGTTAAGCTGGGTGAGTTCACATCTTTTATTTAAGTTAACTGCTGTAGTGAGGAGGTATTCAGGGCTCAGTAGGTTAAGTAGGTACTCCAAGGCCACCCAGCTGTTTGGAGGCAGAGCTGGAAGCCAGCCCAGACAGTCTAGCAAAAGCTCCACTCTAATAAAGGCAGACGTAATGACTTCGCAAGGATTCCTTCGACCAGGGTCAGTTGGTCTACTGCTCAGCCTCAGGCCTGGGGGGAGGAAGGGGATGGGAAGGGTCTTCCAAACCTTTCATTGTGGGTGTGGTCCTTGTCACCTTCTTCCGTTGCCGTGGAGACATGGCCAAGGTGGACTGTGAAGGACACAGAGCACAGGTGGGCACCGGCCCTTCTTGCCTGCCTCCTTTGCCTTGCCATGCTTTTGGATTGGAGATTGGGGTGGGCATGCACTTCAGGAAGTGGGGGAAGACAATTCCTGCTTCCCCAGCATCTCCACCCTGCAGTGATGAGCAAGGGGATGTGTGTAGGGGATGTGTGTGTGTGTGTGTCCACTCATGCAACTCATGCATACTGGGGGGTATGCAGGAAGAGGGAGTCAAAAGGCCCTACAGCTGGTGGGGAGTCTGCAGAATAATCCCCTAATGAGTCTTAGGTGTCCTGGGCTGGGCTGAGAGGGAGGGGCCAGCTCACCTTGAGAAGTGGGTTGGGGATCCGGTCTTCATCTATCTCTGTTTGGAACGGGGAAAGGAGAAGGTGACAAGGATCAGAGATCCAGGGGATCCCAGCAGGGCTGGCTTCCCAAGGGGAGGAGCCTCTGCACTAACTTCCTTCCTGACCCGTCTGTCCCTCACATCTGTACCTAGGAAGCTGGCCCTGACCGCTGCCCCAGGCCTACTCCTGCCAGCTCCCTCCTGCTCTGCTGGCTGGCTCTCCCCCCTGCATTTTGTCCTGTCATTGCCTCTGTGGTCCGTCTGTGTCTTCTTTCTTGCCTTGGACCTGGGGCTTCCTGAAGGCAGGGTTTGTGGGCCTTTTGCTCTGTTCCTCCCTCTGAAGTATCTCCATCTCTCTTTCTCCTCCAACCACTCCCCCCATCCCAGGTCCATAACTGAACCCTGCATAAAAGAGAATCCTGGATAAAGAACAGTAAATTGATCCTGTGTGCAGGATCCAGAAGGTACACTCATTTTCAGTAGTTGGAGGAAAGCTGCAGACACAGGCATCCTGAATCCAACTCTAGCTGCTTAGCCTGACCACCTCTCATCCACGATTCTGCCACACTCCCCTGACTTTCTCTGAGATCTTGTTCTCTCCCCAGACCTTGCTGGGCACATTGGTGGCCAGAATGCCAGCTGCTCCCTGAGCTGTTCCTAACCTTCCCCTTCCCCTCTGGGGGCCCTGAAGATAGCTGATGGAGGCGGGCCCTCCCCCTCACAGCTGTCACTGCCTCTGGGGGCGGGGGCAGCAGCATCTCTGTTGCTGGAGAAACCTGGCAGGCTGTTGCTGCAGCAACCAGAATTCAGTTGACCACCCCAGTTCCCTGGGGGCTTAGGAACCAGGTGGTCTCCCTCCCCTTCTGAGCACTGCTCCATCTTTCCAAAGCCAAGGAAATCCTCCTGCTAATCCAGTCACCACTTTTCTGCTTCCAGGAGGAGGAGATCTCAGATTCCTCAGATCTGCCCTTCTACCCAGCATCCACTTTCTCTCACTGGGCCCAGTTGTATTTGGTGGCCCTCGCTCCCTTCAGCGAACCATCCCAGGAGTTACCTGGGGATGACTGGTCACTGGTCAGCACGAGGGTGGCAGGAGTGGGGCGGCGCCTCCGAATCTGAGGGAAGAGGTCAAGTACATTGGGGAACCATCAAAACCTCACCCAACACCACTCAGCAACATAATCCAGGCCACCTACTTCATACACCTCAAAAAATGCCACATCACTCTGAACCTTCTCTCCCAGGGTGGACATTCTGGGCCCACCCTTTCCCCCTGGGAACCCCAAAAAACACATTCCACTCCCTGAGTTCCCCACCCCTTTCTGTCCCTGCATCTCCCCCTGTCCTGGCCCCATGTCTCCGTCTTAGCAGCTATATCTGCTCTAAGGCATCGATCTTTGGCCTGCTGTCCTTCCGTCCATCCCAGATCAATGGTCAGAAATAATCTACGAGGGCACAAGATTTTTCCCTCAGTGTCCCAGCCCACCCCTCAAACAGACATTACTGTCTGTGGGCCGGCCTCTGCAGAGAGCACCCTCTAACTCATACTCAGCTGAGGAGGCCAGCACAGAGAAGGGGGGTCTGAATGTGCAGTCCCCTACTTCCTAATGTCCTCACGACCTGTGAATATACTGCTTTCTGATTTATCAGGGAATATAGTCCGAGTAAGTCCTACTAATGGTAAACAGAATACAAAGAGGAGCCCCAGGCAGGACCTGGGTCAGGGCCTAAAGCCTGGCTGAAAAATCTTATTCAAGGCTCAAGTCCCATTCTAAAAAATTAACATATGAAAGCTGATGACTCTGAGCCCCTTCCCCCTCCCACCTCACCCCCACCACCCACGGCTGCTATTGTTATGCTAATAAAGACATTGTTATTGAAGTCAGTCCAAGGACTCTTGGGACATGTAGTTTTCCCCCTTTCTCTGGAGGATTTAGAGGTTTGGAAGTAGGGGCAACTGTGTGGTTGGAGTCCCTGCAGCTCTCTCCAGGGCAGAATCAGGGATGAAAGGCTAATGGGGCTGGAAAAGGGGCTTAAATGGTCCCTGGCTGAGGAGACTAGGGTGAGGACACTGAATGATCAAATTCCTGTCTTTCTGTGTCCATTACTTCCTATCTTTACCATTGGAGGTGGGAGTGGTAAGATGCCTGTCCTTCTCTATGCCCAGAAAGTGAGTACCAGCCATAACAAGAGGGGTAGTGTCAGTCTGGAAGGGGCACTCTCCCCCCAAAAGAAATGGGATGCATAGATTGCGGGTATGTTGCGACAGGGCATTGTTTTCTCTGGAAAATCAGTGGCATCTGATTTGGGTGACATTTCAAGGTCTCTGGCAGGACAATCCTGTGTGTGCTCATGTGTGTGTGCGCGCCCGTATCCATGTGTGTGCATATACGCATGTCCTGCATGAGCATTAGCTGTGAGCCCGTCTCTGGCCATTCCTGGTACAAATGTGCTGGGTGCCAGCAGGTGGGCTTGTGTGCTTCATGTATGTGGGTGGTGGCCATCGTTCCTAGGAAAGGACTCCTCTCTATCTTTCCTTTCCTGGGGGTAGGGGTCTATCTGTGGAGGAACAGAGGAGAGGGTGAACAGGGTGAGGGCAGGGTGGGGATTAGTGGGAGTTGGGAGCTTGAGAAGAAGACTGTAAGTATGATTGAGAGCGCCTTGGATGGCAGCAGGGCTCTGTGATCTTGGATGGGCCTCTTCCTTAACCAACTTCTTTGCTTTGGACAAGACTTCTAAGCACTCAGAATCCTGAGAATTTCGATGTCTTACAGAAAGAGGGTGTAAAGTCAGACTTCCTGTAGCACTTCCCAGGCACTTGAACTACTACTAGGAAATGAGTAGATGGTCTCTCTTCTTTTTTCTTGCATTCATCCCAAATCCTAGCTCTCAAGGAACACATGGTGCCTTTGCCTCTGATTTATTTCCAAATCAGACATGCTGAGGACCTGGTGGTTGTGGGCAACTCTCTATCCCCTGCCACTTTGCACTCCATAAACTCAGAGCTTCCAACCCCTTTCCCCCTCTCATGTCAGTCTGGGGTGGGAGCTCCTTGCCAAGGCTGAAGCTTTTTGCCTACACATTGGGGTAAGACAGTAAGAGGGGCTGAGGTTAGACTGAAGGTCGAGTTTCAGGCCTAGCAGACACAGATTTCTGAAGATTAGAGAAAAGCAGGCTAAAGTCCCAGCTCTCTTTTCCCCTCTGGCTCCTTAGCATTGCCTCATCCTCCTCCCCTGCCCCCTCATCCTCCCAGCCCACACCTAAACCTGCCTTCTCTAACACCAAACAGATGCAGGTGTCAGGTGGTGAGACCTGTCTGTGCCAGTGGAAGGCAGTTCTGCTCCCAACATCCCTCCTAATTCCCATAGCCCACACTCTTGGACTCTTTTTCCTGGGTCTGAGGTTATCATAGCTAGTCTCTTGCCTCCAGGAATAACAGCCTTTCTCCTGATTCCAGGTAATGCTCCCCATACTACTGGCTCTCCACTCTCCTCATCCCCAAGAGACTTGAGGCCTCACCACAGCCCCCTTACAGTCACACTTAGAGGTCTGGAGATGCAGCTGCTCCAGGCCAGGCGGGAGGGAGCAGCAGGGACCTAAGCCCTACCCACTCTTTGGGAGGCTGAAGTTACAGGGAGAGTGTGTGAGCCAACCCTTTCCCTTCACATCCAGACCTCATTCTGCCACACAGCTGGAGCCACAGAAAGGACACTCTCTCCCGCCCATCCCAAGAGGTCACAGAGTTTTTCCAGGTGGGGAAATAGACGAATGACCTTGCGGGAAATGAATACTCTTTAGGAATGGGGCTGTCTAGGCAAATGGACAGAGAACACAAAAAGAGATAGAGCAATGAGTGGTGAACAAGTATTTGGTAAATGGGTGGTAGTAGTGACCACGGGCGGTCCCCCTCTCCACACATCCGCTCACTCTCCCTGAGACACACACTTGCTCACACACTCGCATACACTGCTGCCTCTGCCAGGCTGCTTGAGCTAAAAATAGGCCAGGCCAGGAGGCTGGGCCAGGGCCCTGGACTCCCACCCCTTGAGCTGAAGCTGGCAGGGTGCTTCTCCCTTGCATACGGCTCAGCGTGGACTCTAGAAAGCCTCTAGAAAGCCCCTGCCTATCTCTTTCCAGTGCCATTCTCTTCATGCCACCCCCTCTCCCAGCTCCAAAGGGCAGGAGTTGGGAATAAGGACCCACGTGTCCACACTTGCTGAAGAGGGGAGCCTCAGCCTGCATGTTCAATCACCCCTCTTCCCAAAGCCCCCAGCCCTGCCCCAGTTTCCTTAGCCTCTTCTTATTCTCACTCTCTGGAGTCTGGCAGGGTCGCCCCCACTTAGAGAGGAGCGGGTGGTGGTGGTGGTGGTGATTTCTCTTCTTTAAACTCTTACAGCACCAGGCTCCCTCCATTACCTGCCCTCTTCTCTGGCCCCTCCCGTGCTGCCGGTACCCTTCAGCACCCCCACCCGGCTGATAAACTCTGGCGGGGGTTGACTGGGTGGGGATGCAGACTGGCGAAGGGGGGAAGGGCCGTGTCCTCAGGGAGACCCCCTCCCTCAGGGCAGGGAGGCAGAGCGACCTTCGGGGGGCAGGCTTCGAGTGGAGGCGCTGGTCCTTCCGTCCGTCTGGAAGAAGTACATACAGGGAGATGTGGCCCCGACGGTGGGGGAGGGGATATAAGACCCCCAAACTGAGCGCGTTCGCCCTCGCACTGCAAGGGGAGGACTAAGCAGGGATCTCAGATCCCCCAGTCCAGGCTCCCTGATCCTTTGCGGGGCGAGTCCCCTGCCGCCCCGCCCTACTCCGCACCTGCTCCGCCGCCTCGGGGTCAAGGTGCGGCTCCAGCAGCGGGACCGTGAACTGGATCTTCCGTGGGCTGTTGTCCTGCTCCATGGCTGGGGCGGAGGCCCCTGGGCCGGCGCTGCGGCGGGAGGGAAGGCGGTGGGACTCGGGGCTGGGGCGGGCGCGCTCCCTCTCCGCTCCGCTCCGCTCCTGCCCCGGCCCCGGCCCGGCGCGCTCAGCTTGCGGCTGCCGGCTCCGCGCTCTCAGCTCGCGGCCCCGGGGACTCTGCGGCCTCCGATTGGCTCCGCACCCGCCCCTCCCGGCCCCCTCCCCCAGCCCCAGCCCGGAGCCTTAACCCCGTCGTGGCTGCGCCGCCGGCGGCAGGGGTCACCGCCCTGCGGGCGGGCAAGCGGGCTGGTGTGCTCCGGTCCCGGTGGTAGTTAACGGCACAGGCGGGCATCCAGGTCTCCTGCAGGTTCCGGGCAGGGACTGGGAGGAGGTGGGGAGCAGCTAGGAAGAACTTCAAGCTGGGCACGTTTTAGCGGGTGGGAAGGTGGAGGGGCGCTGCGAGAGAGGAGGCAGCACACTCGAGAGGACCATTTCATTTATGATCTTAAAGGGGATGGTCTCAGGGAAAAAAGGAAAGGGGATTTAGGCGTGCAACAGGAGGGATTAAGGCTAGACACGGCGAGGGACTTTCCTTCGAAAAGAAAACACTAGAGCGGAGGCGAACCCTTTGGGGGGAGGTGTGGGGTCTGAGCAGCAGCCCTCTGTTCGCTCCGCCGGCAGGGGAACCGAAGACCTTAGAGGGTCTCCAGAGCCAGAGCCTCTCTCTGGAAGTGCTGATGGGAGTGGCTCCGCGAGGGAGGGCCATCTGGGACTCAGCAGGAGTAATGCGAGTGGGGAGCCAATAATGCTTGTGAAATAAATTTCTCTTTTAGCTTGCTAAGTTAGAGCAGGCAAAGGCGTGCAAGGAGAGAGTTCAGGAGAGGGAAACTTTTTTTGTTGGGGTGGCTTGTTTACAGATGACAATGGTTTCCAATTCCACTGTTGGCAGAATGATGAAAATGATCTGCTGTAACTGAAGGGATGGAGGTTAGACTATGTGAATAACTTCGTACTTTGGTGTTAGGACCAGGATGTCAATCAGTACTAGTGAGTGAGGCAGTGAGGATATTCATAGGAGCTGGTGGGCATCTTGCCAGGGGCTGGGGACCAGGGGACAGAGGAGAGGTGCTAGGGCACTGGGAAGGGGCAAAGCTGGAGACATCTTTGGGGGAGGAGAAGAACTGAGGGTAGGGAGGAGAAGGGACAGGGAGTTCTGGGGGAGCTGGGCAGGAGCCAGGGCCAGAGATCTGTTTCTTTAGCCTTAAGCCAAGCAACTGGAAAGTTCCATAAAGATTCATGCCTCATTCTGTGGGGACCCTATGATCGTTCTCTCCTCTAAGGGGTCAACCTCAACACTTAGTTGCCTCCTCTCCTGGGAAGCTCTTCCCTGGCCTGGATTTCACATGGCCCCCTCACCTTTTATTTCCCAAAATAACCTCCCCTGCCCTCCCTCTAGCCATATCTCTTTACACATGCCAGGCCCAGCTCAGTTTTCTCAGGGCAAGGCTGGGGTATAGGGTCAGCCAGACCTCCATTTGCATGATGTCAACTGGCCCCATATTTCTGTCACTTAGACTCTAGGAATGACCCCCCCCCTTTTCTCTCTCTGTGTTTTTTCCCACCCGCCTCCCTCCACCCCTGCCCTGTTTTATTGAAAAACAATCGATGTACATGAATATGTAAGTTTAAGGTGTACAGTATGATAGTTTGATTTACATATACTGTGAAATGATTACCATAATAGGTTCAGCTAACATCCATCTTTTAATAGAGATACAATAAAAAGAGAAGAAAAAGAAAATAAAGGAAAAAAAGTTTTCCTGTGATGGGAACTCTTATGATTTACTCTCTTATCAACTTTCCTGTATATCACACAGCAGTGTCAGCTATAGTCATGTTATACATTTCATCCTAGTAATTTTTAATCTTACAAATGGAACTTTGTACCATTGGGCTACCTTCCTCCAATTCCCTTTCCCCCTTCCTCTTCTGGTAACCACAAGTCTGGTCTCTTTTTCTATGAGTTTGTTTTTTTTTTGTAAGATTCCACATATAAGTGAGATCATATGGTATTTGTCTTTGTCTGATTTATCTCACTTAGCATAATGCTTTCCAGGTCCATCTATATTGTCATAAATGGTAGGGTTTCTTCATTTTTAATGGCTGAATAATATTCCATTGTATAGATATACCATAACTTCTTTCTTCATCCATCTGTCAGTGGATGCTCAGGTTATTTCCATGTCATGGCTATCATAAATAATGGTGCTATGAACATGTGTGTAGAGATAGCTTTTTGCCTTTGCTCTCTCTTGGATGTAGCAGGGGCAGCCTGGAAAAGAGCTGGTGGGGTTGCCCAGCCCCTCCCTGGAGACTGCCTCCTGCACCAGAAGTGATAATGATAGTGATAGTGGAGGGATGAGGTGTGAAGCCAAGAGGGTAAGGATGGGGCGCTGTTAGGCCCAGGTGCTCACTCTGGCTTCCCCTCCATTCACCTACTTCTTAACCATGCCCACACAGAGCAGGATCCAAAGTATCTTCTAAATAGGTGACTTGTCCATCCCCTACCCCATTCCACCAGGACCCTGGTACTTGAAGCCAGGTTTCCCACACCCTTATCTCTGGGGGCCTCAGACTCCCCTCCCTGAGCCTTGATTTCCTCGTTTGTAAACTGGGGAGAAGAATCCCTTCCTGCAAGGCTGAGGATCACATGAGGTAAGGTACTTGGCATAGGGGAGGCCCTCAGTGGACAGTGGCTGTCCGTGTTGTCTTGTTACCTCCAGCAGCAGTGCAGAGTTAGGGGTGTCACATATCTGGTAGAAGCCTCCATGCCCAGCTCAGTCACCCAGTTTGCCCAGGCCTCTTTCATGTTCCCTTCTTTCCCTCAGACTTTGGCCTGGTCATGGAAATTCTTCTGAATTTTCACAGCCACCCTTCATGTTGCTTTCTCAAGCTCCAGATTCTCAGATCCGCATGCCCGGAAGGCTGCAGGTAAGGAGAGGGGTCCAGCTTGCTCAGGCTCTGGAGAGATGGCTGATGAGGGGCTGTATGGGAAGAGGGGTCCAGGGAGCAGCCGGTGCTAGGGTGGAGGTGGAGGTGGAGAGAGCAGAGGGAGGGGAGAGACACAGCTCCTGGCACTGGCTTCCCTGGAGGAGGCTGGGGTCAGGTGGGTGAAGCAGTTTTGGGTGGTGGGAGGTGGGGTGTGATGGGCTGGAGCCTGTAGTGCTGGGGTCTCCGTGTGGGTGGATGGGTCTGTCTGCATAGGGTATTTTGACCTTTATTCGTGCCCTGGGTGGGGTGAATGGCTGAGAGTCTTTTGGGCTTGTGGGTGGAAGGAGGCGAGAGTTGCTCACCTGTAGGGCTGGGGAGATGTGGAGGGCCTGACGTCTGCTCTTAGAAGCCTTCCTGCCCTGCACAGCCCCTTCCCCAGGCTCTCAGGTATCTGTATGAGGTGTGATCTTATGTGCGTGTTCATGTCCTTGCTTCAGTCAGAGCCTGACCAGAGGAACAGCGGTGCTTCCACGTGGGGTGCTTCTGGGTCCGTGAAATATTTAAGATTCCAAGGATGTGACTTGGGGATGCAGTCCCACCTGCCTCTCTTCTGGGAGCTGGACTCGGGGGAGTGGGCTTTGTGGCTCTCAGCACTTTCTACTTTTATTTGCCCACCTTCTCACCCCCACAAACTTTCTAATTCCTGAATTCACAAATCGTCACAACCTATTAGGAGGGAGGGCAGATATTAGGGTCTTTATTTTACTTTTCCTGGGTGGGATCATGTAGAGAGCTGATGCTCAGCTGGGTTGCTTGGGTTGGGATTTGGGAGGTCAGGGTTCAATTCCTTCGTCTGCTACCAACTTGTTGGGTCAGCCCTTCCTCACTCCTCAAACTGCTCTCAGTTTCCTCATCTGCGAAACAGAGAGGGAAGGTGACAGTGAAGGTTTCTTCCCATTCTAATATTTTGTCTTTCTGAGTTAGGGGTGTTATGGCCACATGGCCAGGAAGTCTTAGAAGCAGGGTTGGAAGGGACCTTACTTCCATCTTTACATTTCCCCCTGCCTGGCCGTCGTGGCAGGGTAAACTCCTGCTTGTGTACATGATGCATGCACACTTTTTCACACACACACAGCTCTGTGAGGCAGATTCTGATTTTATGCACCCAGAGGAGCAACAACCCCATCCAAGTGGTCCCCCGGGAAGCCATATGCTCCTACCAATTTGCCTGGGTTTTGCAAACATTTCTGGAAACTCTTTTGGAATCATCTCAAAGCTTGTGGCATATGCTCCAAAATTCTCACTGGGGAGTGGGTCTTTGTCCTTCCTTCAGGGTGGCTTTGTTCTTCTGGAAGTGACTGAGACTCTTCAGGGGTCACGCCTTGGGAAGAAGGAAGGAGGCTTGGTCGGGAGCAGAACTTGCTCTGGAACAGAAGTGTGGGCACCCGGCAGGGGGCTGTGCATTTCTGGGGCTCCAAAGCCCATCTAGAAGGCCTCTCTGCAAGAGAAGTCCAGAACTTCTGGGTCCCAGCAGCACCGTTAGAGTAGCTGTGCGGCCTCTCAGGGGGTGACTTGGAAGGCCCAGCCTTTTCTGCCTGTGTAAATCCTGGTTTGTCCAAGAAAAAGCCTATAGCTGCAATTCTGCCAGGCATGGGTGTGCACTCCCTGCAGCTGGCACTCTGGGAACAGGGCCAGAGCTGGTGATTCAAACAGGGGATGCTCATTTCCAAAGTGCTTGCCTCTTCTCAAATCACAGACTAGGATGGGTGGAAGATACTTCAAGACCAGTCAATCCAACCTCCTTGAGCAAGAGGGGAAACTGAGGCCAGAGAGGGGAGTTGCTCTCCCAAGAACTAGAACCCATGCCAGTACTTTTCCCTGCAAACTGGTCTGTGGCTATGGCAGGGTGACGGCTGAGCCTGGAGCAGCAGCATGGGTCTGATGAGCTCTTCAGATGCATTTTAACTCTGATCGTCACTAGTCTGGAAGACCCAATCCCTGGTTAGCCACTAGCGAGCCCCTTCCATCCCCAGCCCTCTAACAGGTTGAATTTATTCTTCTTCCAACCGATACTTACTGGGTATCTGTGTGCCAGGCATTATGCTAAGTGCTGGGGGTACAGTGGAGCACAAAGCAGAGAGTCCCGTCCACTGGCATCTTACAGCCTAGCAGAGTCAGGGTGATGGTGGGCTGACCAAAGACTTATAAATGATGAGTACTACAAAGTGGGAGGACAAGCATGAGGTGCATCAAGAAAGGAGGAAGGTCAATATAACCTCTGGCTGCTCAGCAGCCCTCTCCCCATACTAGCTCCTTCTAACATGGTGGTTAAAAAACCAACCACTGGAACAGTCTACCTGGATTCAAATCTCAGCCCTACCCCTTAATAGCTCTGTGACCTTGGGAAAATGGCTTACCCTCTCTGAACCTCAGTTTTCTGACCTGTTAATAACAGGTATCTCTATTATTATAGTGAGGGGTGGGATGAGGTCAGGTCCATAAAGTGCCTAATTTAGCACCTATCAAGCATTTGAGACATGGATATGCGTACTGAGGAGTTCATCTTAGCCAATATTTTCCCCTTTGACTCTGGAAAAAGCAGGGTTGAATGAACGGGGATTTCAAAGATTTCAGAATTCGGGGCTCTCTGCAGGTCACGTACTCCTTTTTAGCCAGATTCTGCTCCTCTCCACCGTTGTCTGATCAGCTGTTCTTGGTGTCCAGCTGTGTCCTCATCAGCATGGATGGTCACCCTACCCTGCTAATTAACACCCACCCTGTTAATAATTAAATCTAATGGCTTTGACTTGGGGGTGGATGGAAAATTCCCCAGCCACAGGACAGGATGAAGGTAGGTTACCAGGAGCAGAAAGAAGGGGCCCCCTGGGCTCTGGACGTGTTGATGGTAGGTGGCTGGGGGAGCAGATGCCTGGTCTCTCCCAGGGCTGCTCAGCAGGGGAGGTGTGGATGGAGGGGGGTCATGTGAAAGTTACAGCACCCTCCTCCCCAACTCCTCCCAAGCTTGGCAAAGAGTGCTGGGCCCCAGCCAAGCCTTGGCTTTCCCCTTGACAGGGGTTAGCCACTGATTGCTGCTGTAGCTGGAAGGACCTGGGTGAGAGGGTGGGTTAGTTTCCTAGGGCTGCAGGGACAAAGTACCACTAACTGGGTGGCTTAACACAACAGATTTAGAGACTGGGAGCCTGAAATCAAGGTGTTGGCAGGGCCGTGCTCCCTTCAAAGGCCCTGGGGAAGCATCCTCCCTTGGCCCTCTCAGGGTCTGACGGCCCCGGTGCTCCTCGGCTCCACTCTGCCTCTGCCTTCCCATGGCCGTTGTTCCTTCTGTGTGTCTCTCTGTGTCCCCTCTTCTTGTGAAGACGGGGCTTACCCTCTCTGAACCTCAGTCATTGGATTTAGCACCCACCCAAATCCAGAATAATTTCCTCTTAAGATCCCTAATTGTCTACATCTGTGAAGACCTTATTTCCAAGTAAGGCTACATGCTGAAGTTCTGGATGGACGTGAATTTTTTGGAAATGCTATTCAACCCACTGCAGATAATGAGAGGCTGACAGGGCAGGGAGATGGTGAGGACTCCAGGGGCTGTGCTGGGGTGGCCCTGTGTCTCTCCCCCTCCCCAAGTGGAGGAAGTGGTCTGGACCTCTGGGTGGGGTTGCACTGGGCCTCAAGAGGCCTGGAAAGGGAGGCTACTGGTGGTAAAGAGGCAAAGGGAGGGGGGCTGGAGTGCTCTCGATTGGGGGAAGGAAGGCCGAGGAGATTTTAAAGGGAAGATCCTGGGTTCTTGTATTGTATCTATTATATATTGTAATTACATATTATAGTGTATATATATATATATATATATATATATATATATATATATATATATATTACATGTATGACAACTAAAATATGTCATGTAATGAAAATAAAGTTGCATTTTGATTACCCGAGACTGATTTCATGACACTCCTTTGGGCGTTGCTGGGCCGGTGGGGAGGACTAATTTTTCCCCTTGCTCCTAGGTGAAGACCCAGGAAAAGCTGTTGAAGATTCTGCTCACTCCCAGGTAAGAGATGGGCTCAATTCAGAAATCAGAACGACCAGGCCAGTATCTGGATCAAAGCCTGAAACTATTTAAAGTCACTCTTCAGCAGCCTGTTGGTCCTGGCTTCAGATGGAGCTGGGGAAGGGGTGAGAGGCTGGCTTCTGTTCTGTGTATCTGTCCTGTTCTGCCCCCAGCCCTGCCCTTCACTCGCTAGATTCGGCTCCCCAGGGAGGTAGGTGTGTTGGTGAAGAGGTGGGGTGGCGCAGAGCAGGCAGGAGCCAGTAGGGGAGTTGCTATGTCAGGTGGGACTCTGTCCCCTCCTCTGTCAGTTGGTAGCATCCTCACCCCCTCCTTTCTGATGTTCTCTGGTGACTCGCCTCTCACAGGCACTCTCTGGCTGCTAAGAGCTTCGCTCTCAGCCTTGTTCACCCGCTTGTTATCCCAGGCACTGAGCTTCCTTCCTCAGTGCTGGGGTCCTTTTGTCCCTTGAGGCAGCCCGACAGCCCCCAAGATGGATGAATGGGGATACACCTGTTTCTTTCCCAGGACTCATAGTCTGCTCCTCCTCTGCCTGGCCAACTCTGGGAGCCCAGGGCATCCCAGAGTGCCTCTGCCAGCCTGCCCACCTGGCATTCCTTGGCCCTTCTCTCTCCTTCTAAACTTCTGGGTGCCCCAGGCCTCAGGAGCCCCAAGTCCAGAGGCCACATGTTCAGCTCTTGGGGTAGCCCATGCAGGTGTCCTCTAGGTTTGCTATAAGCAGATAGGCTCCTCTCCTCTTCCTTGGCAGACAGGGTATGAGGCCCACAGCACAGCTTTCTCTGCACATCTCCTCCTGACAAAATCCTTTGCTATGATGCATTTTTATGTCCTCGATTTGGCTGAGGGGGTCAGAAACTAGTTCTTAAAAATTTCCTTTGAAATCCTTCATTGATGATTTGGTACCTCACTTTGAAATTTCATCTATTGTATTTTGGTCTAGTGAAATTCTAATGTTAATATCCTGTTTTACAGAAGCATCTGGGATTGTGCAGGAGAGAGGGGCATTAGGTTCTATGTTGATGCAGGTAAATTTAGATTGGGGAAGGTGACACCAAACCCATGGCTGAGAAGGGGAATGGCCACCAGAGGGCAGCAGATATGCTTCAGACCCTCTGTCTTTCCTTGGACTCTTTGGAGCTAGAGTTTGTCCTTCAGTTCCCAGAGAGCAGGTGGTGCCCAAGTGCTAAGCCTTGTGGAGGGGCTCAGCTCTCCCTGTATTTCAACCTGGTCTCCAATGTTGGCTCTGTCTTCTCTCTGCAGTCTAACCACTGTTCTTGCACTGGAGGTATTGAAAATGTCAGTTTGCATTCAATAGTTACAGCCATTCACTAAACACCTACATTGTAATGGTCCTGGAGATTAAAGCCACATTCTATGAGCTGGAGAAGCCCAGCCAGGGAGGCAGGCCTGTGAACACACAAGGTAAGCAGCGAAATAGCAAGTGCTGTTGTAGACGCAGAAATAAGGGCTTTGTACCCATGTATAGAAATAGCAGACTGATTTGGTTGCTGGGGGCAGGGGTGGGGGAAATGGGTGCAGGTGATCAAAGGGCCCAAGCTGTCAGTTACAGAAGATGAGCAAGTTCTGGGGAACGTAAGGTACAGAATGGTGACTGTGGTTAATAACACTGTGTGGTATATTTGAAAGTAGCTAAGAGAGATCTTCAAAGTTCTCATCACACACACACACACACACACACACACACACACAACTATGTGAGGTGATGGATGTGTTAACTAAACTAATTTCACAACATATACATATATCAAATCATTACATTGTACACCTTAAACTTATGCAATGTTATAGCTTTCAAGTGGGGACCCCAAGAAAGGAGCAGGAGCTGGAGAAGGCTTTTTGGTGGAGGGGAATTGGAGTTAGGCTTTTTTTAAAGGATGAGTAGCACTTTGGGGAAGAAAAGGCATGAGAATAAGGGGGCGGTAGGCTGGCATATCCTGGAAGACAAGCAGGTTGACAGGTGGCAAGGAAGGTGGAGGAAGCAGGAGGTGGGAGGGTTGCCAGGGATGTCTGTGAGGGGAAGGGGAGACCGGGGCCCAGTGGGCGGACTTCGGGAAAACACCATTTTCTGCTCTTAGCAGAAAGAGACTCCCCAGTCTCCAGGAAGAGGGTCTGAGGCTGCAAGGATTGTATGGAACTTCGGGGAGGTTCTCGGAGAAAATAGGGAAGATGGGAGACTTGAGCTTTTCAGAGAAGAAATGATTCAGATTTCTTGTCAGTTGGGATGAAAGAAGACTCAGTTAGAGGTGGGGGGATCTTGGCACAACAGGGGAGACAAGGCAGGGGCTTCGGATGAGGTCAGACGGAAGTCAGAACAGATCCTGATTCTTCCAACACTCGAGTGATCCTGGTCTGATTGCTTTACTTCTCAAGCTTATTTCCTAATCTACAGAATGGGAATAATGATTCCTATATGCTAGGGATGTTGCAAGTAATGAACGAACTAATATACAGAAAATGCTTAGCACAGTGCCTGGTAAGCATTGGTTAAATGGTAGAATTTATTATTAGAATGATAATTGCCTTCAGATGTTTCAAAGGTTGTCACATGGAAACCACCAACTTACCCAGGCTGCTCTACCAGGCTGAACTAGCGATGCAAGTGAGAGGAAGACGATTTGGGCCGGCTGGAAGGAAGAATGCTCTTACAATCAGAGCCACCCAAGTCTGGAGGAGGTTGCACTGTGTGTCAGGAGATCTCTGTCAGTGGAAGTACCCAAGAGGCTGTCTGGGGCCAAAGCTGGACATTTAAGGGCTCACTCTTTCTAACTCGATACCTTGGGATCTTGGGTTGTGCTGAAACTGTGCATCAGAGTCTATAAATGGAAGATTCTGTGATTCTCCTTGAAGGAGAAGGGCCCTGGGACAGGGGAGATAGAGCTGGTGGTAGAGAGAATCAGTGGCTGTCCTGGTTTAGGGCCAGATCACTCTAGGCTTTATGATCCTGTCTCCTGGGGTGAGGGGAGGGTATGCAGGAGGCTCTGTGGAGGTTGTCCTGTCCCTCATCCTGCCTCCATGTGATGAGCTCCATATTTTGTGAAGGAAGTTTGAGAGTGGTGGGGGATTTTCTTCTTTCAGACTCTTCTCTCACCTCCAATAAAAGGAAGCCCTTTCTTTTTTGCATTCTGGGGTGCCCCTACCCAGAGCTTTTAGAAGCCCTTCCTGAGACACGCCTCAGGCTTCCTCACTGCAGCGCCTGGGCCGTGTAGTCTGGGAATGTGGTCTTCCCCACCTCACACTCATCCTGCAGAGGCAGGGGAATGGAGGGTGGGGCCCTTGAGCAAAGGCTTCTCAGCCCTTCCCAGGAGGTTTTCTTCCCAACCTCTCGGAAGAGGGGGACCCTCATCTGTGCCCTCCCCTGTGGCCCTTTCCACCAGAGGAGAGGACTGGCTCCCTTCTTCACGAGGTAGGGAGTGTGGGAGAGAACGCTTCTAGTCTCTCTCTGCACTGAGGAAGGAGCAGCTAATGTCACCAATCACTTCATTCATTCATTCATTCATTCAATTCATTCATGAATTTAATTCAGATTTATTCATTGAACTGTTTGCCCAGTAATTACTGTTCAATGTGCTAGAGAGAAAATGGTGAATACTAATAATTGATAAGCTCCTGATTTCATGGTGTTGACATTTTCATGGGGTAGAAAGTATATACTCAGGTAAAAAAAGGTATAAATAAATTCATCTCAGAACATGGTAAGTGCAATGAGGGAACAAACAGGGTGAAGTGACAGAAGTAAATGATGGGGTGGGCATTGAATGGGGTGGCCTGGGAAGCTGTTTCTGAGAAGATGGCATTTGAGCTGAGGCCTGAAGGGTGGGAGGGAGTCAGCTATGCACTGAGCAAGAGGGGAAGGGTTCTAAGCAGAGAGAACAGTAAGGATGAAAACCTTGGGCTGGGGAGTCCCAGGACCCGGAGGAGGGCAGTGTGTGCACAGAGCACTGAGAGGGGAGTGGAGTGAGACGAGGTGGGAGCCAGACCACGCGGAGCCTGGTGAAGAGTTAGGATTTTATTCAAAGTGCATTTGAAAAACATGTGGGTTTTAAGTGACAGACTGACAGATGCAACTTGATACATACTTTAAAAAGATCACTTGCCTAAATGCTGAATGGAGGATGGACTGAAAGGGGTAAGAGTGGAGGCAGAGAGGTTACTCAGGAAGCCACTGTGGAAGTCTAAGCATAAATCATGGTGGTGAAGCTAGGGGTATGGCAGTGGAGATGGGGAGGGAGAGGCACGGAGTCAGGATACAGTTTGGAGGAGAGTCTAAGGCCCCTTTGGTGTGGGGAATGAGGGAAAGGCGACATCAGGATTGACTGGAAGGTTTTGGGCTTGAATAATTGAATACGTAGAGGTCATATTTAATGAGATAGGAGGATGAGCTGGACAAGTGTGTGAAGATACTAGTTCAGGCGTAATAGCAAGGTCACAATACCATGGCGTAAATAGAAGTTAAATGGTGCAACGGGGGCTCTGCAATATTCAAGCCTCAGGCTTTTTCTCTTATAACCCTTTCTTTTTCCAATATATGGCTTCCATGTAGTGGCCTACATTGTCGCTCCAGCTCCTGTCTCTTTGCCTCGTTCCAGTCGGAGGAATGGGGAGGACATCCTCCTTTCTGACAGGCACACTGCCCATAATTTGTCCTTACCATACCTGCTCATATCCTACCGGCCACAGCCTGGTTCCATGGCCACATCTAGCTGCAAGGAAGCCTGGGGTGTGTAGTCATTAGCTACATGGAAAAAAGGGCGAGTCAGTAGGTTGGATATCTGGATAAGGTCAAAGAGTTGCTGTAACTGGAGTTCTAGAATAAGGGAGATGGGAGGTCAGGAGTTTGTAGGCAGAAGATGGGATTCTTGAATTGGTGGTTTTGGGGGGTTGCTGGGGCGAAGTGTAGGCTGGGATACTGCTAAGAGTCGCGTGTGTGAGCGTGGGGTATCATTAGGAGTGATGACAAGGACCAGTGAGTAGAGTAAAACAGGAGCTCAGCACGCCAGCGAAGGAGGGTGGGGTGCTGGGGGGTGCTGGCCTGTGCTCGGAACCTCACATGAGGGAGCTTTTGAAGTTGGAAGGAGGTGTGGTGCTGCAGAGGCCGCAGGGGAGCAAGGAGGACCCCCCTTCCCTCTCTGGCTCCGAGGCCGTTGGTGATAAAGGAGAAGCTGCTGCCCTGTGAGAGCCTCGTAGAGGCTGTGGAATTACCTGGGAGTTGTGAGGTGTTATCGAAGATTAGGCAACCCAGAGAACATTCAAAACAGGATATTGGCAATATCAAGGAGTCTGCTGATCATAGAGCAGGAATTCTAGAGGGCACAATAAAAGGGTTTGGGAGAAAGAGGCCAGGCAGAGAGAGGCCTGGGCTGGATTAGAGCCAAACGGGGGTGGAGGTCTGCGTAACAGAGTCCTGGAGGTTTTGGCTTGGCCCTGGCAGAAGCAGGAAATGGAGGCACTCTGTTGCCCTCCTTCCTCAGAGAGCAATAGGATGGGGTACAGACCTCAGTACCCAGCTGGATGGTTTGAGGCCTTGGGCAACTGATTCCTAGGGTACCAAGGCCTTAGGGGTGTGGGTGGTGACTGATGCCATGAAGGCAGGAGATACAAGGCAGCGGAAAAATGGCTTCCAAAGATGTCCACGTCCTAATTCCAAGAGCCCATAAATCTGTTAGGTTTCATGGCAAAGGGGAAGTAAAGTTTTGGGTGGAACTAAGGGTGCTAATCTACTGGCTTTAAAATAGGGAGATTATCTGAGATTATCTGGGTGGGTCCGGTGAAATCACCAGGGTCCTTAGACACGGAAGAGGGATTCAGAAGGGAACCAGATTGAGGGCAAAGTGAGAGGAACTTGGCTGGGTGTTGGGCATGGGAGAATGGGGCTGTGAACCAAGGAATGTGGGGGCCTCTGGGAGGTGGAAAAGGGCACAGAAAGGATTCTGCCCTAGAGCCTCTGGACAGGACTGCGGCCCTGCTGGCGCCTTGATGTTAGCTCGGTGAGACCCATCCTGGACCTCAGACCTCCAGAATGACAAGATAACAAATGTGTGTTGTTTTAAGCCAGTATATGTGTGGTAATTTGGAATTAGAAATTGTAATTAGAAAACAAATACAAGATGAGAGGATCTCTTCTCGGCAGCTGCTCCCCCCTGCAGGTGGGCTCCTCGGGCAGCTGGTCAGGCAGAACACTTAACTGAACGTGTTCCACAGGGACTGGAGTTAATGCATTAACAGGAATGTTCCTGAATTGTGTTGCCTTTTTCTCCGCTGCCCTCTCATGATGCAAACACACACGCTTGGATGGGGCTTCCTCTCCGCTCCTCATCTTCTCTCCCCTGGGGGCTGCCTGCTCTTTTCCTCTCTGTTTTGTGGCTCAGGCAGGGAGGAAGCAGAGGAGGCCC